TGATCTGTGCAGTGTATCTCTCAACATTGGAGAGGAGTTATCGGAAAGTTTTGTTCAGTAACTTGGCAACTAAGTTTGCTTATAATGAATCTGTAATGGTCCCTGTCAATCACAGCTGCACGGTCTGGTTGAGTGTGACTTGATATATGTCTTAGAATGATCAATATCAATTCACTTTTGTCTTATCTAAAACAGGATATTCTAGAACAGGGTAGTAGAAGTTTGTTTTCTTCATTGTGTCAATATTAACTTGTAATGAAAAATATGACATGTCCGTAACTAATAATACTTTTAAAATACTTATCAAGGAAATGTACATTTCACTTGTTGCTAGTTTTCACGTACCCACTAAACTTTGTTATTTTTAACAAAATTATTGGCACTCATTTTATTAATCCTGCCAGGATTTGTGTTGCTACACCAGATTAATTTTTTCCTCCAATGCCTGTCCTAGGTTGATTTCTCCAACCCAGGCTTATTTCTCTCTCTTTGCCTATGATAGAGAAGCCTATGATTGGTCTGTTTCTCCAGCCCAGAGCATATCCGTGCCGCGCACTCAAGTGAGGGGAGGTAAGGCAAAGGAGGGAGTGGAGAGGGAGAGTTTAAAAAAATACATATATATATATATATATGTGTGTGTGTGTAGAGATTGAAGCTGTATTAGTCCAGAGATGCAGGTGTTAAAAACAGATAAAATTCGTAGCTTGTAATACCTTTTTTTTATTGGACTATGAATTTTGTAATGACAAGCTTTTGGGAGAACCTCCCTTTCTCCTGTCAGAAATGATTTAGACTTGTTAAAGGGAGGTTCTCCCAAAAGCTTGTGATATTATAATAAAAAAAGGTATTACAGGGGAGGCGGTAACTGCATGCAGGGACAGATTAACATAGGGGCTGATGGAGCTCCAGGCCCAGGCCCATGGAATAGGCCCATTGATTTAAAAAAAGAAAAATAAAAAATTACTTTTTTTTTTTTTTTTTTACACACTACTCTTAGGGTTGCCACCTGGCCAGTATTTATTTATTTATTTATTTGAGGCAGCCTATCTGGTGCCAATATTGCAGTAATACTGGCAATACAAATGCCAGTATTTGTCTCAGTATAAACAGAGATTACTCTACAGTACCAGCACTGGCCAGTAGGAGTCACTGTGTGTGTGGAGAGAGGCATGGATAGGAAGTTACAGCATATACTGGAATCTCTCTACTCACTGATCCGCGCGCAGATCCGCGAGAGTCCAGACAGCAGCTCCCAGCCGGCAGAGACAGCCTACAGCTCAGGGAAGTGAGGGATGGGATAAAGGCTGCAGGGAGACATCGGGACACTGAGACACTAGGGGACACTGTGAGACATGGGGACACAGGGAGACCTCTGGGGATGCTGAGACACTTGGGGACACAGACACACATGGGGACACTGAGACTTGGGGACACAGACACACATGGGTACACTTGGGGACACTAAGACCTGAGAACACTGAGACACTAAGGGACACTGGAAGACCTTTGGGACACAGACACTTGAGGACACATACATACATGGGGACACAGACACTTGGGGACACTGATACACAATGTCCCCAAGTGTCTCAGTGTCCCCTTGTCTCCCAGCCAGTGACCCTGGTGTCTCAATGTCCCCACGTATCCCAGTGTTCTAGTGTCTCAGTGTTCCCATGTTGCCCAGTGTCCCTAGTGTCTGTGTGCCCATGTCTCTGTGTCCCCGTGTTTCCCAGTTTCCCTAGTGTCTCAGTATGCCCACGTCTCCCACTGTCCACATGTCTCCCAGTGTCTGTGTCCTCATGTCTCCCATGTTTCTCAGTGTCCCCATGTCTCTGTGTCCCCTAGTGACATGGGGACACTGGGAGACATGGGGACACAGACACTAGGGGACACTGGGAGCAATCGATCTATACAGAAGAATCAAACTGTAAGTAGTTTGTTGGTGATTTTACAGAATTTTCTCTTATGTTACTCCTTGTGATTTACATCATATGATGTCACGCGAACATAGTTAGTTATGCAAATTAGTAAAGCCTGTATTTTTTTCCAAGAAAGGTGGCAACCCTAACTCTTCACATACTTTTGCTTAAGTATGGAAACTTAAGAGGGATATATGGAAACAACAATTGTGTGGACTAGCTGAAATGAAATTAGTTAAGGTAATGCTGACTTTGGTCTCTCTAACACTGTGGCATGTTCCCTTTTTTCTATACTGACTACATCCACCTTTTCTCTGTTTTAGACTGTATACCAGGAGCTTCTGCCTGCTAGTA